TAACATCCAAGGGACTGAAAAACTTAATTATTTAGAATAGAGTGAAAAAAACCAGAACTCAGATGTTTACTAGATCAGTGCTCTGAAGACTATTTTCACTTCTTTCTTTTTCATGTTTCTGTGAAATTTTTGTTTTTTTAATTTTCCAGGTAATTGGAGAGAGGGGATTACAGCACTGTGATGTTGTCTTTCCCACCCTATGGTCACCTGCCAAGTTCTGTAACTGTGTCTTCAGTGTGTCTCCATTTCATAATGAAAGCTCCTTATGTCAGGAGCTTTGTGGATTTCTTTCCAGCCACTTTGCATTTCCAGACGTTTGTGACAGCACTGGGTAAATTGCCCTAATAGACTCAGAGGAAAGTAGTCTGCTAGTTTTAAAATCTATTCTAAAATATTCCACTGTTGATGAGTGATTATTTATCAGTACCCAAAGAATGCAGGGAATTAAAAAAGACCTCCTGGCAATCTATCTTGTAGTATTTCACCTAGGTAAACAGGAAGACGCTTGAGAATTGTTAATTGTCTTTGAGAGGGCTTGTCATATATACCATGGCTTAAGGTCATGTTTTCAGTTCATGTATGTAAAGTTAAGCACATGCATAGTCCATGGAGCCTTTTAAGCTGGGCACCAGTAGTGTCACAATAGCTTAGAAGGAAGGAAGAAGTTCACATTAAAACCAGCACATTGAATGATAGAGTATTGCCTCTGTTTTGGAGTATTTTGGTAGTAGGTGATTCTACCACTCTTAATGCTTAAATCTATTAGGTTAAATCCATTTTAAAAGTGAATATGCAAGTATCTTTTTGTTAGGGTACACAGTAGTAGTTTCATAGTTACTGGTATGACCCAAGTTAGGTTGAAGAATGTCATTGACTTCTTTGGAATAGATTCTCAAGTTGCACTGCTTTATTTTCAGTTTGAATTTTATTCTGCCTTTTCTTTTTTTTATCGACCTGATTTAATTAACCTTTTTCTGGGATGCTTACTCTTTGGGGAAAAAAAAAACAAACCAAAACAAAAACCTGGGGTCTAATGGCATGCAATTCCTATTTAGAGATGAAAAATAATCTTTTCAGCTCCCTGCTGCATCAAGATGTGAAATGAAGGATCATGAAAAGCAGAGGTCACTTGTGAGGAGTCTGGTGCAAATAACAGGAAATAAGAGGGATTTGTTAAAAAATACTTGTATGTAATCTAGGCCAGAGGAATATTTTTCAGGGAATTCACTAACATATTATGATACACTTTGTGTAACAGCACAAAATACTCTTAATTTTTAATTTTCTGTAATGTGTTACAACTTGTTATCAAGGAAACAGGGCTGATTCCATTAACTATGAAACCACTTTTCCCACTGTCCTGTGCTCTTTACTGAGGCACCTTTGTATCTTGCTCAGACTGTTCCCTTAGATGGACTCAGGCATCTGCTTTGGTCTCTGTCTGTGTGCAGCATTTCCCTCCCCAACAAGAATATCCTGCTTCTCCTGTCCCTGGAGGAAGAAAGATCCTTTTTTCTTTTCTTTTTTTCTTTTTTATCCTGTCTCCTTCTAGGACAGGATTGTGTGCAATGTAACTCTCCTCCTGGCACTCTCACGCCTTTGCCAGGCAGCTGTAAAGATAACATCTCATCTTTTTTTTCCCTGTAAAGCACTTTTAGTCAAAGTGCTTGTTTATATAAGAATGTGCTAACCTGAGGAAGATGCATTCGTTTCTTCACAAATCTTTCTCCATTTCTAGATTAACCATTTTTGTTCAGCTACCCTTGCATCTGTGTGGTTGAGCAACAAACCTTCACCAATTTATGTGTGTCAGGATTTCAAGAGGGAAATGGTGTATGCAGCAGGAACTGCAATCCTTTTCTCTCTGAGTATGAATTCAGAGATTTCTGACGGCTGACTTGCTCCATAAGTCCCAGTTTGAAAATAGAATGCTTTCTTCTATATTATTAAAAGCAATCTCTTAGAAACAAGTCTTTCAGGGAGACTACCAGCGAGATGTGCCTCTTCATTGCTGTAGCTGAACACAGGTTATGGGTTATGCTTATTTTATAAGTAAAAACTTGTCACAGCTGTAAGACCTGACTCAGAATTTGATGTAATCATAACCAGACAATGCTGCTGCTCTTACTGTGCATGATGTGGGTGAGTCCTGCTCTAAGCCTTGCCACATCAGGTGGCAGAGGCTCGCCACAGAGCAGTGTGTGTTCCAAGTCTTTTCCTTCAGCTGTGCTCCAACCTAGGACTAGGGCTGGACAATAATAACAAATCAAGAGATGTTAGCCAAGAAAAGGCGCCTAGGGAGGACCTGGGTCAGAGAACCAAGTGACTCTGGAGTGATTGCTGCTGTATAGAATTCAAGAAGAGAGTGAGAAGGATGTGTAGGAGCTTGTGCTATCTGTGCCCTGCAGTGTTGCATCCCAGTGCTCTGTCAGAGTGGGTGCCTTTCCTTCCAGCTCTCTCCTCAGCAGCAGCCCTTCATCTACTGCTCTCAGAGATGTCTTCCTCTGTCTTCCAAGTGACCCAAGATTCCTCCAGCTAGAGAGCTGCTCATCTAAAGGGCAGTTTGAGGAACAGTTGCAGTTTACCTGGAAAGACTGCAGCTTCCTCAGAAGGCTGGTGTTAGGTTTTCTTGCCGCAGAATTGGAACTTCTCACTACTGCGCTGCTGGGGACATAGAAAGCACGGAGGTGTAAACAGGGAAAGTCTACTGCTCCCATGGCTTAGTGTACAATTCACAGGTAGTGCTTTGAGTAATGGATCCCCCCAGATGAGATGCAGTGTCTCTCACCTGTCACTTGACAGGGTGGGAAGAAAAGCTGAAACTGTCCCATTCCGTCCGGTATTTGCCCTTTGGAAAGGAACAAAGGAAAGGACTGTATCCTGTGTAAATATTTTTGAAAACTACTGATTTAGAACTGCTGGTGTTTTGGTATTCAGTTAAATGGTTGTTTGGAGATGGGCTACTGAAGGGAAGTGAAGCAGTTGTGAAACAATTTTGAATTATTATACACCAGTTTAAGGCAGAATACAGTTTAACTTTATTAGTATGAGACAGTGCTTGTGAAAAGTGAAAATCCTAGAGTAAGGTTTAATACAGAGTACAGACCCATTGCTTCATTTTCCATTTGGCTGAACTATGAATTGTCCATAGAATACTCTAAAGGTGACCATAAATCTTTACTTTCAGCTCATGTTATGTGTGCTAAAAAGTTGACTGGTTGAAAGTCACCAGAGTGTACTCAACACTCAGGACCCTGAGTGTTGGTACTTCTATTTACATACTAGAGAATATTCTTAAAAGAATAGAATAGTTTCTATATAATGAAAAGCAGTAATTCAGCAATGCAGTGCAGTTCAGAGCCTTCACAATACAGTGTGTTATAGTAACCTTAAGCAGATAGTTTTCTGTGATTGTAAGCTGAATGAAAGCTCTATGAGCTGCTTGCTTTTTGTTAGCATATCATAGCCTGTTAATCATGCTGTATTCGTAAAGGGCTGGTCTTTCTCACAGTGAAATGTTAGCCCTCTTAGCATTCTTCCAAATTTGTTATAAGTTTTCATAGCCAGTACAGCAAAGAAACAACTGCCAGGCATTTGAGTACATGGATGGAAGTCCTTAATCAGCTAACAGACAGTATTATTCCCAGGAACTAGACACATCTTGTACTGTGGTGGTATTCTTAGCTTGAGAAACAGATAGCATGCGATATCCAGTGAGTCACTGTGCCCAGCACTGCTTTTCCTCCACAGTGGTTGTAAGGAGGATGAATGCTTTGCTTTCCCGTCTCTGTGTCTAATTTTAGTATGCCAGCAGGTCGAGGACTTCCAGGCCACCTTCTTGGATAATGTCATCCAAAACATTAAAACTTCAAAATGGCTGGATGTTACTGCTGTGCTGTCTGACATTGTATCCATGTATAAAACACCTCCTCTTATTACTTTGTGGATAAATACACATGGTCCACTAGGTGGACGGGAGGGATACTCAGTCATCTTGTTACAAAGCAGATTTTGGCTCCTGGTGCATTTGTGGCAGTCATCAAAGAACCATAATCTGTTCTTTTTATCCTTTTGTGTTAATGGACTGCTAAGGGTAAATGTCTGTATTGAAAGGAAGTAAGATCTTACAGCTCTAAATTTCTGGTTTTATGTTTTCTTACCAAGTGTGTGACTTGTCCAGAACATACTTGTGTCTCATCTCTCTCTGTTATGTGTGTAAACACACAGACAGACACAAATTAAAAATGAAGATTTGTAAGTAATGTTTTGGTAATTTTGTTAATGCTCATCTTATCCAGTCTTATGACCAATCGTAAGTCATGGCTGAATTTGACTTTCCTGTAATTTTCTGCTATTTATAGCAGAAGAAATTCCTTGTGCTCTATATAAATCTCTTTTAAATAAGTTCTGCAATATAAAGCAGCAATATAAACTAAAGCTAGTAGAAGAAACTTAGGCTGCACATATAAATGGAGAAAAGAAATGAAAGCATTTAAAAATCAGTAACATATTGTATATGTTTTGAAAACTCATAGATTTTTTTGAGGCAGCCTGCCAAAGACAGTGTTTGTTTCCTCGCAGACTTTGGTATAAGAGTGCTGCATGTCCAAAGTCATGTAGCAGTGTGTTTAGAAGTGGTTTATTCCCAAGGTTTTTCCTAATATTTTAACCTGTTCATTGAGCTTTGTGGAGATAGAAGTTAGCAGTATTGATTGAATTCAGTGTTATCTATTTGCATGTCCAAAATCTCCCATACCCAAACAAAAATCAGAAGATGAGGTAATAGAATTTCATTTTGAAAGTGAATACTGCAAATGATTTTTCCTAGAAAGAAAACGAATTGTAATGAACAAAGTTTTGTATGTACAATAACTTGATCAATCTTTTAAAATAAACACTTCTTTAAACTTGTTGTTAAAGATGTTTCCATATTTAGTTTTCTGCTATTTAGTTTTTCAGGATTTCTCTATAACAAAGTCTCTTACATTTTTTTAAAACAGATATCTATCCGTTCCAGAACTAATTTTTGCTACAACCAGAGACTGAAATGGCATGACTGGAGTTTTAAGTAATTTGACTTCGATAGTTTCACCATTTTCTGAGAACTTGGAACAGAATTTGAACTCAACTTCTGCGCTATCCTAGGTTATAATGCCGTCCTTTTCTAATGAGGGAGGTATGCTGCTCTTGGATTTTTAATATAACCTATTAATTATTCAGTATACTTGTACCTCTTAATTGCAATGAAGTACATTTTTTTATCTTTAGTTCATTTGTATATGTTATTTGAGATATGAAAATGTTGATAGTTGCAACGTTATTTTTCAAAGATAACCGTGGAACTGATCCTCTGACTTTGAGAGCGGAACTATCCTATCAAGGCACAACTAAAAGAAAAGTGAAAAAGAAGAAGAACAATGGAGTCATCACTGCGAATATCTCTGGCACAAAATACGAAATCGGTAGGGAGCTGCATATTTTGTTTTCATCCTGCTAGCCATTGATGTGAGTGAATTCCTAACTAATGGAGTGAACCAACAGACTTTGCATCGAGCTGACAAATTAAAATAATGCTTGCATTTGCTTTTGGAACTACTGTACCTGGACTGAGGAGGCATTCTTGTCCCTATTTGCACTGACACTTAGAGGCATCACTGGTTTCAAATTAACTTTTGTCACAACCACGATTAAGTTGAACTGCTGTACGAGTGGACTTTTAGCAGATGATTGGGGAATACACTGAAGCTTTTTTCAGCTCCCATCAGTGGTTGTGCTCTGACTTCTGCCTCACTACAAGGTGCTGTAACTTTTTAATGGCCGGTTTGCAGTAGGCTGATGGAAATATTGCAAGACAAATAGCTTGCATGCTAACATTGTTCTCAGACAAAGGGTCATATATTGGAAGTGCTTAAAATCTTTACTGATTTTTTTAAATGTTGAAAATGAATCCATTTTACTGTTTCCAAATGGTCCCTATATATGTGATGTCTTCACAGTACGTATAGTAGTAAAAGAAATGGGATTTAAGAAAGCACCCGATGAAGATGAAACAGCTAATCTTATATGGAGTGATTGTGCTGTGCAACAGGAGAAGATTGCTGAGCTTCAGAACTATCAGGTAAAGTGGTAGTTGAGATTTTTGACGTGTTTCAGTAAACTGCTTCACCCTGAAATATTCAGTGATGTATCAATGCTCAGTTTCACTTGTATGGAGGGCAAAAAACCCCCACAAAACCAAGCTCAGTAAGGCTTTATCACTGCATATCTAAAATCCTATTCTCTTTTCCGGAGTTATTTGTTCATACCACTTGGAATCTGGTGTTTAAATATTTGGGGCTGTTCTTTCATGTTTTGTCTGCCATTTGGGGGTGTTGTGAACATCAGAGTTTGAAAGAAGATGCAAAACGTCATTTATAAGTATCTCATAAGCTTTTAAGCAGTAAGTTAACAACCAGAGCTCTCTCCACAGTTTCTATGAATAAATAATTTGGTTTCTTTACCATCAATTTGTGATAGCATTCTTTGTTCCTAGATGGCTTGGTGAATAAGGGTATGATAGTCTCATGTATGAAATTAAATCGATGGGCACTTATGTCGATGGAGGAGAATAGAACTTACAGCATCTTTGGTATTGCTAAGAATATGTAGTATAATGTAAGATATTATCTTAAATAATTTAAATTTAATACTAATTATTTTTGCCTGAGCATGCAGTTGAACGTTTTAAATGATTGTGTTAGGTATACCAGAAAAACTAGAAAGTATCAACCAGCTTTCTTTTTTTTTCTACTTCCTCAGAGAATCAACCATTTTCCAGGAATGGGAGAGATATGCAGAAAGGATTTTCTGGCAAGAAACATGACTAAGTAATATTTCTTTTAATATTAAGAAGTTTTTCAGCTGTAGTATTTAATGCAATACAATATGGAACTCTTGCTTATAAAGTTTGTTCATTTTTGCTAAGAAACTGTGAGAGGACCACGAATAATTTCCAAAGTTCATGAATAACTTCTGCTTTGGTCCTGGAACTGTAGTATTGGAGGGGGCTACTTTATCTTTCCAATTGACTTCAGTGGAAAATGATGTGTGTTCAGTTCTCTCTCTACACATTGAAGAATGTAGGTGAACCTTCAATTATTGTACAATAAACTTAATGCGTAATACACCCAGGTATATATCCTGTAGTGGTAGAACAGAAAAAATAACTAGTGTGTGGATGGATAGTGAGTCTGGATGCAGTCCTGTGCAATGTGCTCTAGGATCGCTCTGCTTGAGCAGGGAGGTTGGACCAGATGACCCAACGTGAAGCATCTTATTGTTTAGACAAGAAGTAAGTCAGTGAGGCTCATTTGTCTAATTACAAGTTCTCACTCTAGTGGAGTAACTGGCTCCTGAGGAATTATCCTCTTTGGGCATCTGTGAGCAAGTCCTGCTACAATAATTATACTAAATAATGATTTGAATACTAAAACAATACAAAAAATGATTTGATGGCCTAGAAATAAGGAAAACTTTGGGGATAAATATGTGTCAATATTTTGGTTTTCTAATCTAAATTAGTTTGAAGAGCAATTATTAATAGAATTAATCTTTTGGATTCCAGCATTGCTTATACTGCATTCACTGTTACCAGAACAGAATTTGTTTTCATATTAATGTACTTCATGTGATATCTCCTCTTTCTCTCTCAGTTTCCTTCTCTTCTCTTTTCTGTTTTGTAACTAGAATACATAGCATGTGGAATGCAAATATTATGTGCAGTGCTGTGGTGCCTGCATGTCCTAATGTGGACCAGAGCTCCTGCGTGTCAGTAGTGCTTCAGAAGCACTTTTCACTGCCCTCCAGGGGGGCACTGGATTAAAGTGCAAACACAGAGATAGCGCATGGAGGCAAACCCAGCTATTTGGAGAGGGCTTGGAAGCAGCTGGTCAGCTTTGTACACAGTAGTAAAATGGACAAAAGGCTCTTGTTATCATGTACACATTCTTTCAAATACAGTCCAATTATATCTCTCCCAAGCTACTGAATTCTGAGTTTGAAACACAGTTTAAAGTTACTCAATGCTGAGATTGCACATATGGATAGGACAGGAATAATTGCTCTGATAACTCTGATAACTCTGGGTCAAACATCTGTGTTGTGACTTCACTCAGTGTCTGTACAGGTAGCAGGATTTTAATTCAGTCTGGTTTTTTCTTACTAATGGCCTCACAACTCAGTGCTTAGTATTCATAATTTATAAAAATCAACATTATATGCCTTGAGACTGCTTGTGAAATCACAAGTCAGTTGGGATACATGGTTGAGCAGGCTCTTGTGTGTAGAGTGCGGGAGTTTTTTCCCTACAGCTGTTGTTCTGCCTTAAAATTTATTTAAACAGGATTGTGCAGAAAAACTAATTCTATGCTCTTGCTTTTCTGCTGCATGCCATCTTTTCTATTCCTATTACTGACTCTACTGATTACTATCACTGACAGTCCATGAAACTTTCTTGAGAATTGGTGGGCAGTAGAGTCTTTTTTTTCTTTTACTTCTACATTTGATGTTATACTGACCTCACCCTCCCATTTTATGCAAGTTGTTGGGAATGGAGTGAAAGAGCAAATCTACCTGACTATGGGCAAATACTACTCAGGAGGAAAGGTGCTTCAGGAATTCCTTTTGCAGCTAATATCCAGGGTCTGGATCATAGGACAACGTGGTTTTCACATGCAGAAGAGTGGAAGGGGGCAGTGTAATACGTAGCATGTGTAATGTGGAAGAAGACAACCCAGCAAAGAAAGTGAACGTGGAGTAATGGAACAGATAGAAAGAGGAATGGAATGGAGAACAAAAGCAGGCATGAGCAGCATTTTCAAGGGTGATAATCAGAACACAGAAAAGAAAAAAATAATAATAGAAGTGCCATTGTAGGGCCAACTAGATCTTAAGAGACCATTTTGAATGGACTCTTAGATGAGAGCTCCTCACGTGAAGGGGAAGTGTACTTAGAGAATGAATACAGTAAATGGGGGTGCACAGGATGAGTGGATCCATCTATGAGATGGTGTTTTTTTGCACTCCTTTGTTGTTTATATTTAAAAGGTTCATGAGCTGGTCATGGGCCAAGAATCATTCTCATCCTACCTACTCACTAACTTCCTTTCATACTTGAAAAGATGGAGGGTTTTGAAACCTGGGCAGTGGAACCTGCGTTGTTGGACTGACAAGTCATGTCTTTAGTAAACTATGTTTTGTTCAATACCTTAGACTCTGCTGAACAGAAAGTGCTCTGAGATCAAGAGCACAATCTGACCACATCTGTGAGCTGAAATAGCACTCAGAAGAACAATAATTTGCTGTTTAATTCTCAGACCTCCTGGTAAGGACTGTGAAGGCTAAAGGATAGAGCAGCACAGTGAAAAATTGGTTACCCACAGCAGTGGACAGCAGATGTACTGAAAAATAGGGCTATTGTAATGGAATAGGCCTTGATGGAATTCCATTGATGATGTTCCTAAGACCTTTCTGAATAGGGCCAAGTGAGGAAAGAACAGAGCTGAATTCTTTTGTTGAAAGTTTTAGTGAGCCCCAGAACTTGTAAACAATGCTGAAGTATTCCACTTCATATTATTAAGTGTTTGCAATCTACCCAGTTATGCATCAAAAGGAAAAGGCAGTCACAAAATACTGTTAATATATCTGGAACACCTTGAAACTATATTCATTGAGGAGGGAGTGTGTGGATCAAAACCCTTAAATAAGTTGAATGGCGAGTCTCTAACATGTAACAGGATGCATATGATAAATAATCTGGAGAGGGATTTAAACAAACACAGAGATTGCTTTTTGCCTAAAAATAAGATAATTTCTACCTAGATAAGCTACTCACTTGGCAAAGTAATAACACTTGTAAATAAAGAGCAGATGGAGAGTAGTTTAACAATATGCATGAATCAGGAATTATAGTATCTACTTATGTTGTTTAAAAGTTTTCCTGAATATTTAGTGGTTTTCATTTAACTAGATTTCTAGAAATAATAGTTATGATGAAGCTGCAAAAGCACTGAACCTCATGCAGGACTACTATAGCCATTGTAGATTCTGCAGAGCATTTGTTGGGGAGCTGGCTACACAGTTTGGTGACAGCATATCTATTATACCAGTAGGGCTTGGCTACAGTCCTAGCCTTACAGATGTGGCTGACAGCTCCGTTTTTTCCATTAGTATTTAAGCCACTTAAAGTATCTTATACTGTACCAGGATTATTATGTAGGCTCCTAGTAGAAATGAGAAATGGAAATGTTATTGCCTCTTTTACACTTATCTTGAGGTCTGTTATTAATATTTTTTGCACCTATGAAGAAACTCCGAATATCCCCAACCCTCTTCTTTGTGTGTGTTGATCCTCATACCTCCCCAAATACATAACAGTATGAAAATTAAAATACTTGCCAAATATCTCTCTGCCCCTCCTCTCCCCAAAAATCTATATTTCTGAAATATTTTGAAGAATAGGAATAGCATGAAATCATCTGAGTAACTGGCCAAAAATTGTAACAGGAGTGAGATGGATGCCAAGAAATGAGATGGATGCCAGTAACGTAATAAGCACATTTGATAATAAGCAAAAATACACAAGATAGTCTGTGTTTGAATATAACATATGCGCATGCATATGAATATGTTACAGAGCTCAAACTATGCTTAAAGAAATGCAGAAGTTTGATTTCATGTTACAGAATTCCACTCAAAAAGTTCCCTTGTCAAATTGTCATAAATGCTTTTTAAACCTGAGGATTGAAACATCAAAGTAGTCAGAAGACTTTAACTCAATTAAACTTTTTTTTTGCAGAATGATCAAGAGTCAGCCTCAGGAGTACAGTTTTATTCCTCGGACGTGGATCTTCCCTGCAGAATACACGCAGTTCCAGAACTATGTCAAAGAACTGAAGAAGAAACGTAGACAGAAAACTTTCATAGTCAAACCAGCCAATGGTGCAATGGGACATGGGTAAGTTGTGAGTTAACTGCAGTCTTCTTACCCACTGAAAGTGAAATCCAGTGCTAATAACAACATTAACAGAAGCTGTGTATTAGTAAGAATATTGTATTTCAAGGGCCATGGGTAGGGTAAAGGCTTCACAAGCCTCAAATAAGCTCAAATAATTATTAAGTTCACGATAATTTTATCATGAATTTATCTGCTGTGCTTAGACTTCTGGGGTGAGACCATACTGGGCATAAAGGGGAAGGCTTTTGCGGCTGGAGGCTCAGGGGTGTCTATGGGAGGACGTCAGGATGTTCCACAGTTCTGAGACCAGCCCAGATACCCCACTGCATTCCCAATTCACAGCCAGTCAGAGGAGCAGAAATGTGTTTGAGAGCAGCAGCTGCAAGGTGTAGGAGGGAAGAGGAGATGCTCCTGGGTGTGGCTGGAGGGGCACTCTTGGAAGGAGGTGACACCCACGCTGCAGGAGGGACACCCCTGAAGAGACTGCCACCTGCAGTTGAATTGAAACAGTTTTGTCTGTAACAGGGCTGCACAGTAAAAATCCAGTAAGAGAAACATTGCAATTGTATTATTAGTTCTTGTTGCTAGATATTTCAGTTGTAGCTTTTATTGCTTTTAATATCAATTTGGACTATACAATATAGTAAAGCTCTTAGTTATTCAGAATATATCAGAATTACTATAAAAGTAAGACCCCTGAAGTTTTCCATTTCCTCATTTTTCAGTTGTCTTGATAAGGACAAAGATCAGCTGAAGGGAAAGGCACCAGCATAGTTCAGAGAAATGCCTGGAAGGTACTTCAGTATGACAGGAGTATTTGGCACAAAAACTCTGAAATGTATCTTAAATAATACAGAATAACATTAGGTAGCAAAGTTCTGGGAATTTGAGGTTAATAATTGTATACTGAAAAAGGAGCTTTTACAGTTATTTAAAAGTCTGTGTAGCTAGACACTGGGAGTTCATAATTCGTATATAAACCTTTTTTTATTCTGATGTGGGGAAATTGGAAATACAGAAATACCAAGCTTAATCTATGCCATTCTTAGTCAGGCAGATCAGTGTCCTGCTTTGCAAACATCATCAGTATGTCAGGTTAGCACTGGAAGTTCTTTGCAGCCTGTACCTCGTGCAGAAGTTGTGACAAAGACTGGAAGTCTATTTTTAGAGCTGCAGGGGTATAATCGCAGAGGCTGGAGACTGGTCGTTCTGCCAAACAATTTCTAAGTGTAGAGCAAACCCATCACTACAAATTGTTGAATCAAAGCAAGCATAAAGTTATTTTGAAATGGCTCATTGCCTGTTTTCATCCAGTGAAGAACCGTAAAGGATAGGAAACCAAAAGCCATGTAAGGGAACGGAACTTTCTCTCTACCCTAAAAATTAGACATGTGAGTCTCTTTCTCTAGGTAGACTTTAGCCTGATTACCTGACTTAGTGACCATGAAAATGTATTTCATAGAGTAATGTTCAAGTTTCACATTTTTAAAATAACTTTTGTTTTTACCAGGATCTCTTTAATAAGAAATGGAGAAAAGTTACAAGCTCAGGATCACTTAATTGTTCAGGAGTATCTTGACAAACCATTTCTTATGGAAGGCTACAAGTTTGATTTACGTGTGTATATTCTTGTAACCTCCTGTGATCCATTAAAAGTATTTTTATATCACGATGGACTGGTGAGAATGGGCACGGAAAAGTATCACCCCCCCAGTGACTCAAATTTGGTAAGTTGGAGTTCATTCCAGTTTATTGCTTATACATATAGACTTCTACCTGTGTAGCATTTGGAGGAGGTAAAGTAAAATAAATTGGGGTGTGAGATGTAATTTGAAGCTCATTTGGATGAACTTCTGCATTTTCACAGAAGAGAAAAAATTCAAATGAAAGTACTTTACTCATGCTTTTCAAAATCACAAGCATAGCCGTATTACTGCTTATATATAAAAATTTTATATGACTGCATGTGTGTGTGCTACATGCATACATAATTAAATGTTTTCTACAAGAAAGCAAAATATATCAATTACTGACATTCAACCCAGAAAAAATAAAGTAAATCAGTTCACTTCAGGAACAGTCACTTTGCTTTTATGTTCATGGGAGACACAGTCTGGGCTGGGGTGGGAGGTGGTAATAAGTTTTATCTCCTGCCTGATCACGGTTTAATGTCCCTGAAGTTTAGAGCCTGTGCTGAGGGTCCTGCCAGGTTTCAGTCTTGTCTTGGGAACCTGTGCAGCAAAGAGAGGAGCAGCAGTACAAGGGCCCAGTGTGGGAGGGGGTCACTGCAGCCCCTGAACTGGGGGGATCTGCTTCAGCAGGGACAGGAGAACACACCTGGCAGCTTCAGGGTGATCCAGGAGGCTGCCTGTAACCTTAGGGAAAGCCAAGAGATGGTGAGGGACATGCTGAAGATACTGGACACTTTCATGCCCTTGTGCCCTGCTGAGGGGTGTAACCTTCTCTGCTGGCACAGACTAAAATGCAGATGTGTAAGAAAGAAGTAGATCTGAAGCACTGGTACATTTGAGGGGTTTATACCTCACTCCGTACTCCAGTGTATATTCCTTTTTCCATAACATATACTTGTAGAGCTACTTCAGTGTAATTATGTAGCAGACAGCACATGTAGAGCCTTTCTCCCTGCTTGCAACGGAAAGTTGTGACTGTGTCTTGGTGCACCTCTGAAAAATGCAGGTATAATTTGTAGCCCAGCACAAATGCTGTATTTGGAAGAGTTCCAGTACTATATTTGGAATAGCTTGCTTTTAATATTTTTGTTTTGCTACTAATCTCGGCATTAGCAGCGCTGAAATATGCTCTGAGCGGATAAATGGAAGGGGCAGTTGTTTCTGTGTTCTCACAACTGCTCATGCTCTGGTTTGTCTATTGTATGCAGTAACCTGGCTTGTCCCTACTGACATTGTTCTCTGCCTGACATTGTTCCATAGTGACATTGTTCCAAATAACTTCAGACTATTAGCTTGGATATTTGACAAAACACACTCATTTTTTTCTGTAGTCTGAAAAATAATTACTTTTGTATGAAATAATTTGAATTTCATGAAAAGATTACAGTTATGATGACTCAAAACCAATAGATTTCAGAATGATTCTCAATATTTGAAAGTAATTGAAAGCCATGGGAGAAAGTCATTACTTCTAGTGCTACAGTGTATTTGTAACTGGTTTGCAGTTAAATTCTTTTGTTAATTTCATGAAGTTTTTTTGAACGTAAGGAAGTATAGTGAGATAAATGACAGCAGAAAGCTTGTGTTATCTATCAAAGAGGAAAGGGAACAGAAAACTTATGGTCAACTTAGAATATCAACTACTCTCACGTATGTAATCAAACATGACAGAGAACTGTGATGAGGACAGTCCTCAGGGTAGTGGAAGTGGAAAGCTAAATTAATATCTGCACTGGGAGATAATGTAAATCTACAGATCATGATTTATAAATTGGCCTTGGAAAGGAAATGTTTTTTTTAAAATTCAACTGATAACATGAATCTAATGCTGGTGGCATTTCGCTCCTTAAGGTAACTGTAATACTCACTCATTTATGTTATGCATGTCTTGAAATTTACCTCCCTCTGATGGATGGCTACCAGCCAGTTAAAAATGAGCAATTTTGGCAGATACCAACGTGCCAGATGAGTTTATATGTAAAAGATATTTTAAAGTATCACTATAATGAGATCATATCTCATAAATAAGCTACAGTGAAAACTGAAATGTGGGATTGTCTATGAAAAACAGATGCCAGAGTGTTTTCAGCACTTTTAACGTAGCTCTTCAAAATACCGTCTTTATTGTTTGCTTCTCGTGGAATGTAATCATTCTGTAAGTTATCATAATTGCTTTTCACATTTTTAGCTAGTGTTTTACATACAGACCTGTAAAAATGGCAGCTATATTGTATTATCTAACCAGATGTTGAGTGGTAGATCAGTGGACTGCATCTGGCTTAAATATGAGCCCAGGTTTTGTTGGAAGAAGGTTAGAACATTCAGCTTTCAGTATAAATCTCCAAGAGTTGGAAACACTAAATCTGCATATAGTGTATTTACAAATATGAACTGTTTGGCTCTGTCATTATTGATGTACTTTTAAAATTTTCATTGTTTTGAACTGACCATTCTGGAGCTGTATTTAAGTTTTTTTTAAATGTCCTTTCTCCCTTTTTTTAGAGTCAATTGTATATGCATCTGACTAACTACTCTGTCAATAAACATAATGAACACTTTGAACGGGATGAAACAGAAGACAAAGGAAGCAAACGCTCCATAAAATGGTTTACTGAGTTTCTAGAAACAAATAATCTTGATGTCTCCAAATTCTGGAGTGATATTTCAGTAAGAGAAACTAATGCACTCTTATTTATTTTGTGTGCTTTTAGAAAATTAGTTGCTTCTGTTTTACTGTAATACAGAATGATTTCTGAAACTTTATTAATCCAGATTCTCAGCAATGCATGCCACAAAGGGCATACTGTAAGTGATTGTTATGTTTTTTAAAAGGCAAACTTCGGAGTCTGATTACAAGTGTAATGTTAACATTTTTCTGGCGATCAAAAGTCCTTTAAAACAGTTATTCACATAAGTAGTATGATACAAAGGAACCATCCCATTTAAGTTCTTGGAGACTTTTCTAGAGTATAAAGTGAATTTTCTGTGTGAATATTTACATTGTGGTGGTCAGTATGGTATATATCTGTGGACTTTGAGCAGCACCACTAAAGTGGCTGCGTTACAGGTGTCTTTAGGTGAGGAACAGGCCTGTTAGAGCTTAGAGCTGTATGTATGATTCTGAGCATACTTGCTGAAAACTATATTGCAAAATGAAATGGGTGAAGATTGGCTATACTGTACTATGTTCCCAATATGCTTTTATTATTTAACTTATTATATTTCTCAAAGTTCATATGTACCACGAAAAGTATAACAATATAGTCTAGAACTATATAAAATTATATTTGTTCCTCTGTGGGGATAGTTTATTTATTATAGACTATTTGTTTGCTATTGTCATGGTTTTTTTTAGTAGGTGCATAAATGAAATTTAAAATAGTAAAGTGTGAAACACAGTAATTCAGTATATAGTGGTGTCTTCTGTCCTGATGAATTTTCCTAAACAAATCCCTGCAGGAGCTGGTAGTGAAGACTCTCATCGTTGCAGAGCCGCATGTTCTTCATGCTTATCGCATGTGCAGGCCGGGCCAAGCCCCAGGAAGTGACAGTGTCTGCTTTGAAGTCCTGGGATTTGATATTCTGCTGGACAGAAAGCTAAAACCATGGCTCCTAGAGGTAAACCTCTTTATACAGATGTAAAGGAAATTTTTAGGAGTAAAGGTAACCAAGCCCCAGCTGAATCTGTGTCTATGTAAGAAAATCGGTGCATTGCAGGAGGTGCTGTTGTTGAGTACAGAAATGGTGCTTTCTCTGCAGCACCCATATGGAAACACTACCCTGCAGTGATTTTTGGGTACTCAAGTAAAAGTAATTGTTTTCCTGGACAACTGTTGCATATCAGATGTTTTTGAATATTTTAATGGAATTGTGATGTTAATCTCGTTGTTACTGTAGCTAGAAGACATTGATTATGGTGGCTGGGTGCTACATAGATTTCCTTCAGAAGCATGGCTATGTAATATGGCTCTGGCAACTTCTGTGAATGTATGCTCCTAACTTTCTGTCTTTTGGGTATATGTGTTCTTTTTCTCTCCTATGCTTTTTAAAAACAGCCCCATAAACAGAGGAAACTAATTCAGTATACATGAAATACTGCAAGCAATTGGCATAAATGGACTGGAAGAAGCATTTCTCCTCTGATGTGTTTGTTAGTGGTACAGTTAAGCTCAAGTGGTGCTCACACATATTTTCAAACAGAAATGTTTGAAGTTTGTCTGTTGTGTCTCTTGAATTGCACTATTAATGACATATAGATAAAGCTTACTTGTCTTTTTCAGATTGTTTTATGTCATTCTGTTAAGTGGCTGGGAGGCTCTGCTGCTGGAGGAAAACAGCAAAATGTATTAGAAATCTGTCTATTGACAGTAATTCATGAACACGATTTGGCTACCGATGAGCAAAATGTACACAATTAATTTACTGAATTGTAACCTCATTCTTAGGCCATTAATACTGCCAACGATTGTTTTGTCATTCTTATTTCTCTCAGGGGTTCATCATAATTTTAATCAGAACAATAAAATTCCTGCACTGTTGCCACGCAGACAGAGGCGTATTTGGTGGCTTTGATGTTCTCGCCAAGAGCAGCACATGACATGAACTTAGTCTGTACTACATTGACATCTTCTGTTTTTGTCCAGTGAAGCCTGCTGTCCCTTTGATTTAGTGCTACACTTCCAGATTGCCATCTATAGATTGCCTGTAGCTTGCATATAGGTGTATGGAGCTATTGAAGTGCAGATTAAAGCTGGTCCGTGTGACATTTCATCCAGCAAAAGCTGATAGAGCTCTTCTGTGAGAGGTGGTGAGGCAGGCCGTGCAGTAAGTCCATCTGAAGGACACACCTCTATGTCCTCTCATGTTTACATGAGGTGTGGAGATTCTGGGGGGCTTGATTCACCACTCATTATAATGGGTCTCAGAGGAGAATCAGACTATCCCAGACTTCTGGTTTATGAGAGAGAAAACTCACAAAGGAGTAAATGCTGCTCCAGTATTCTGAGTGGCTGGAGAATACTTTGGGGCTTGGAGTTGTATGCTTGGTTACTAATTTTTTTGTTCATACAAAAGTCTAAGTACTTTGCCAGACATTTAACTAAAATAACAGAAATGTCAAACTTTGAAACTACTCATTTTCTATATCTGTCTACCATTTTTTACTGTGCTTGTTCATGTTTTTTGCAGCACTCTCACAACAGAGTACTTATATGTATGCACACTGTATGTATGGTCCATGTAGTGTAGTAAAGATCAAATATTCAATGTATATAAACACACTATACATAATCTATATATTCCATGTGTATATATGTGCACATATATAGATTTTTTTCTAAAACAGTTCTGGCTTCTTCACCAGATTTCCACTCTTAATCACTTTCCACCATTCCCCTCTGGCCAAAACCCCCTAAGGGGAGTGAATCATTCTTTCTAACAGTGGTAACAAGTACTAATCACAAGGCCGGGAATGTTCCCAGTGTTTTGGGAAAACTGCCAAAATAGGATTAGGATGATAAATCTAGTTTCATGTTCCCATGCCTCATGTAGCTTTTCTGTTATAAAGATAGCTTAATAAACTATTACAAGAAATAAATTGTGCAACATATTATAATGACTCTGCTTTGCTGAGCTGACTTTCATTTATGTTGCCCTGATGTGCTGTAGCTCTCCTGCTCCTTGATGCTACTGAACTTCCGGAACCTTCTACCGAAGTGCGGGCTCTGGGAAATGCAGGATTGCCATCTTGTGGCACCAAATGTTTCTGGCAAGCGTTTGTGCAGTCTCAGCAGCCTCCATCCTTTCGGAGTAGCAACAGCTACCTATCTAAATCTCCCTTCAGTTTGCATAAAGTCCAGTTTTACTCTTTTTGACCAAAATTTCCAAGCTTGCTTGGAAAGAGGGAAAATCATCCACTTGAGCTTTTTGGATGGACTCCAATCTTGTTCAACCTCATTATATCCAGTTGTGATCATTGGAGAAAAAGATCACATATATTTTAGTAATTGCCTTAAGTGCAGGGTCCCCAACTTCCCTTGTGATTTATGTGGTCAGCAGAAACCTTATACACACATTCAGAAATGTATTATTTAGTGTAACTGAACTAGCAAAATCTATTCAAAACTTCATTAACAGTCCATGAATGTGAACATCTTAGACCAACCAATTATTGCT